TTAATATCTTGAAAAATTGTAAAAAGGAAATTATACAGTTTCTTTTTGTATATATGTTGCAGGCAAAACTTATAACCAGTCAAAACTAGTACTGTGACATAGTTATACAAATTTTTAAAACTCTTTCCAATAGTTTCATCAATGAAAGGTTTAGCAATAAAAAACATTTTTAATTACTTACGTTATTTATTACTATTTAAAGGGCCAAAGTAATCAGAATTCTAGTTAACTAGTTCACAGCTTTTGTTAACATTCATAATATAATCAATGTAAATAGAAAAAATTGTAGTTTTAATATTGTATATAATATACATATAAAAAAATGTTTAGCCAAATATTGGTAAAACTTTCTAAAATATAACACGTAGGTACTTGTACTTTGTTTTACTGCTACAACGTTTTAATCACAATAAAATTATCTTACAAATAAGTATAAATTGAGCAATCACAGTTTATAATCACGTTTTTTTTATTAATATTAAATACCCTATAGTAAAACATATTCATTTGCGTCGCGGGCGCCGCGCGTCGTAAGCCCCATACCTATTGACCGTACGTGCATCCATTACTGCCACACTATATTGAACTTTATCACATGAGGAATACAGGTCAATTCCGTAAACGTTGTGGTACCGTCCTTGATCCGGAAAATGATTATTTTGAATAATTTTGTCAGTTGTAATGTAAGCATTAATAACAGCAACTTTATTTTTCATGCATGATTTACTTCATTTGATATCTTAATCCTTCAAGCGCCGTGATCTAGACAAAATATATAAAATCATTGTTCCTAGCTACCGGGGTCCCATGCGACGCGCGAAGGCTTAATCATATTATTATAAAGTATTATTAAAATAATGTGTAATTAATAATATTGCGATTCTAAAGTAAATACTCCCTTACATAGACAATTAATAATTTACACAAGACAAAAATTGTTAGAAAGAAAGTTAATAATATTGTATTCGACTGTACTCAATGTAATGTATGTAGAAGTTTACAATCAAATTTAATGGTTTTCTAGGTCAAAAGTCAAGCAAAAATTGGACTGATATTGGGCACTATTTCAAGCACAATTTTTTGAGACGTAAATTGTACCTATAGCTCGTTCGATATTCGCGCACTGAGGTGAGTATGCTGGGCGTAGAACCTACGCCCAGCATACTCACTGAACGAAGCCTATAACTCCGAAGTTATTCGAGCACTGTTTTTTCTTTTTGGGCACCGTTTGGCACTATTTGGGAACTATTTTTTGAAGTATGAATTATGTTTGAAGCGTATACAGATTCTCCGGACGGAGGTGAGTATGCTGGGCGAAACCTTCGTCCAGCATACTCATCGAACTATGGCTATAACTTCGCAAGTAAAAGAGCACTATTTTTTTCCTTTGGGCACTATTTAGCACTATTTCAGAACAGTTTTTTGACATTCATGAAATATCAGGATTCCATGGTGAGTATGCTGGACGAAGGGACACTTTACGTTGCGCGGCAACAGGCTGTTCCTGCAACGTGTAGCGGGTTTGATTCCCGTACGGACCAAATCTTTGTGTGATCCACAAATTGTTTCGAGTCTAGGTGTCATGTGTAGGTATGTCAACTTGTATGTTTGTAAATGCACCCACGATACAGGAGGAAATCCTGGTGTGGAGTAAAAAAAAGAAACATTCTAAAAAGATTGTGTGCCCCAGCGCAATTTAAGACGGCCCTGCCGACATCAGCCTATTTTTAAGCAAATTACTCACAAAAAGGCGAACGAACGAACTTACCCGATATAAAGCACATAGTAGAATAACATTAAACGCGAACTCCACGGAGTAGGCTATCATGGGGGCTGGTTTGGTGGCATTGTCGTCTAGTATTGTGGCCTGTACTTGTACCAGGATCGGCACGAAACTGTCGTCCGCTATGCCTACTAGAGATATCACCTGAAAACATAATCATCAGACCTTTGAAACGGCCATAGCTTCTTCTTCGACTCTTAAAAATTAAAAATTTAAAAAATCACACTTTGTTCAGCCTAGGAATCGAACTAGAAATGAGTACTTTCATGAATCTCATGGCTGTAATCGCAACTCTCAATCACAGGGTCTGGGTATTGAGTTAGCACTGAGGTTTGACCAGACCTCCACAAGCCAATGTGCTTGAGTAGAATTCTGTATTTCCTGAAGGGTGTCTTCAAGGCCCGAGTGAATGGGCTCCTTATGGGACGACGTGATCCATCGTAGACCGCATCATCGCTTACCACCAGGCGAGATAGTGAGTCGGACCATCAAATATAAAAAAAATGCAAGTACATAACATCTACGTAAATTTCACAATTATTAAAAACTCTCTTAGTAAAAAAAACATGGGAATTATTCCTGTGACAGACCAGTCAGACCCCAGGGAACTTATGGGTCCTTCTACTCAGTGGAATATGCCATAATCTGCATGCTTGACAGGTTTTGAAGATTGCAGTTTAAAAGCTTCAGGTTTAGCAGGCAGAGTTACCCGGCCTACGTTAAATGTATAATCCCGCTGTCGGCTCTGACGATACCCACAGAAATAATAACGGTGGTAATCGCACGATAATGTATAAGATAAAAAACCACTTACCGCTAAAATAATATTAAAGTATCCGGTAATGAACAGTCCTATCCTGACGGGAATCACCCAGCAACACCAATCTAGCTTAAAATTCACCACCAAATCTTTGACATAGTCGAAACCCTTCCCCATCGTGCAGCACGTTCGAACAGACGGACATTCAACAGAATTGTACCAAAAATACTAACTCAATGTAATTAGTTTTGTCTTAATTAGGATGCGACTTAATTGAAAGGTCGCACAAAATTATGAGAGGTAGCAAATTGATATAATTCTATGCGGTAATATTTTATGACGGACTTGTGGTCACTGTGCGGTATTAGGAGCTAAACTAGGTGAATTAATTTTGCATTCCTAACTCAGTATAGAGGCACTAGGCACCACCTGCTATCCTTTGCAAAATGAGTTTTTTGAACTTTCACTCCTAAATAACTAAACACATATTAATGAATTATAGTTCAAAGATAGATGAGATGTCGATTTTGAAACCCTCAGAAATAGTATAGACCTGTTAAGCGAGTTATTGTGCCTGGTGTTCCTCAATAGGTTTTGTTTTCTTTCTATTACAATTAAATTGGAACTAACATAACTTAAATGGCAAAATAGTGTTATATACAGTTCTGTCAGTATAATAACACTTTAGGCTAAATATAGACATAGGTATTTATAAGAGATTTTATCGCCAAGACAAAGACTATCTATTTTTAGACATAGGACATAATTTGATCTATGACGAGTCCAACATCTTTAGGAGGTCTAAGCTTGCAAGGACAAGGTTAGCAACAATAAAAAACTATGTTATAAAAAATTTAAAGTATATTATGGCGTGCATTTGTCATAAGTAAATACTGTTATATATGTAATAGTATAAGTAAAATAAGTAATAGAAATATTATGGCAGAATCAGATATGGTGAGACAAATTAATTATTATTATTATTCTGTCAGAGATTATAATTTAACTAATTCTTATGAAATTTATTCATATTTAACCTTACACAGTTAGAATTGTTGAAGGTAGATACTGAAATCTGTGTGCTAGTACTCACACAAAAATAGGCCTTATTGCTAGCCAATAGAAGATGGTTTCCTGTCAATTAACTATAACCAAAAATGTGCAAATAAAAGTACATTTTTTAGTCTACGTTTTGAGTGAATGTATTTGAACAACTTGGTTCAAAATTAGACAATTTATTAACTGTTGGTCACTTAACCTGGAATAGTATAGAAGTATAAGAAAAAGGGTTAAATTGGACTTTAAAAGGCAATTTTACCAAAGTTATAACAATTGTGAGTTTTATTACGCATAAATGCATTTTTAGTTGATCGTCCTTCTATATGTTATTACTTATTAGGTAAAATCGCAACTTGTAATTATTATTAAACTATTTGTTAAAAGGCAGCGTAAAAAAGCTTACAAAATTACATTAAAACTGTGAAAATTATGAAATACATACAAATTGTAAATTTTCTTTCCTATCTTTTCAATTCAATATAAAACAAAATATTTTATTAATTTTAATCCCACTTCACCTATATTTGTTTTTACTAATATTACTTTATTTTAGAATTTACTTATCAATCTTTGCGTATAAAATTTAGTTTTTCAAATAACAAATAGATTATCAATAGAAAACAATTTAATCCTAGTTTATTCAACATAATTATTCTAATAGTTTGACATAGTTTCAAAAGACTTCGCTTACAAAGAAATAATATCAAAATAAAAATTAATATAGATTGACACTGCTGGTGACGAATTATTGTCAACTACTGAAAGTAAAGCTATAATAATTGAATGTTCTTTAGTGTCCTTTTTCCTTTAATATAATTAATGAATATAAGAATGTCACAAGTATTAAAAATATGCGAGCCACGTCTAGCTATCTCATAAATTATATACAATATAGATCCAAGTCCATAAGAACACAAACTGAAATATTCTGGCATTTACACTTAGGAGTAAAGAATTGGAACCACTAGCGTTTTCTTTTTAATTTCTTGATTAATATTTTCTGATACAATTATTCTATTAATTGGCAATGTATGTCGTATAAAAGGCTATTTAGTTACCTTTAAAATAATAGCATTTTGTTGTAAAAGGAATATTATATAATAGACGGTTCGATGAAATTAAAAAAAAAGCGCGTGGCTGTTTCTTTGCTCCTAAATATAGTAGGTAGGTAGTACACGCGGCTACACATCGAGCTTTACATAACCAGTATAAACTGAACGTTAAATGTGCGGAAAGATGATGCGACGCGACACCAGGATAAACTGGTTTTGTATAGATTGATGTGTGACTGTGTGTACATATATATTATATTTCAAGATTCCATGGTCACAATAAAGTATCAACCAGCAATATCCACCTCAACAACCCTGTAACAAAACCCGAATAAAAACAAAACAATACGAAAATAAACATTTATTTGTGAATACAACACCACATTGGTTGAACGCAGGCTCCTAAATTATCACCAATTGTTACATTACATTCCAAATATATCTGTCTATATAACTGTGTGTGCTGTTACCACTTATTTTTCGTATATTATCATTTCGAGACTATTCCAAGTGCTTGTAGCACTTTAAATATACAAGAATTCATATAAACACGATTTCAAATCATCAATTTACTAGCTGACCCGGCAAACTTCGTATCGCCTCAATTTTTTCTCACCTTTTAAACCTTCCTTGGACTTCTACAAATAATTCAAGATCAAAATTAGCCAAATCGGTCCAGCAGTTTCAGAGTTGTAGCGAGATTAACGAACAGCAATACATTTATATACATTTTGATATATCATAAACATCTCTGTAAACGAATACTGCGTTATTATTATTAGCTGACGATTTAAACGCGTTCAGTAAGAAAAATCTTTATCTATTTAAAAGTGTGCTTTAGCAACACATTGACATTACATTGCATAACAGGATTATAAATCAAATTACAATCAAACTATAAATATTGAGTCCTTAAAGACAGGCAGCACACACAGCTATACTCCCTATAGTCCCATACATTCACTTCATAAGCGCATGTACCACCGCATTAGCATTCAGAGCTTTAAGATCAGTGTACGTCTGACCAGTACCGACAAACACAATCGGTTGTCCAGTGATGTAAGTCATCGATATGGCAGCCCCGACCTTATCATCGATAGTATCGAACTTGGTCAGCACAATACCGTCGATAACGTGAGGGTTCGAAGACGAACTGTGGTCCGCTAAAGCTTGGTTGAACTTGACAAGTTGGTCGACGGCTTCGTTGCCAACAAGAGCTTCTCCTACGAAGAGTACCATGTCTGGTTCGTTCACTTTGATGAGTTTGGCCAGAGCTCGCATGAGAGGCTCGTTGTCCTGCATCCTGCCTGCCGTGTCTATGAGTACGACGTCGATCTTAGAGTCCGTCGCGTAACGGATGGCTTCCATTGCTATGCCGGCCGCGTCCTTACCTGGGGATGGATGGGATGTTAATCAATTGCAGATTTAAGTAAAACATAACATCAGGCCTTTTATCCCCTAAGGGGTAGGCAGAGGTGCACATTACAACACTTAATCCCACTGTACTACGTAACACCCACTTTTCACTATTTATTTATGTTACGAGTCTCATATGAGATATGAGTAATAGGGGCTGAGCCTATTACCATATACCGGGCACATTTCTAAACTCCGTGCTACTACTGAGATTTTTTTTTAAATCCAGTTTAAAAAAATAAAATGCCGACCCGAGAATCGAACCCGAGACCCCTTGCCCGACAATCGCACTTGCGACCACTCGGCCAACGAGGCAGTAAAACTAATTACGTGCAAAAAATCACAATATATTATAATCTATTTAATATTACAATCCTAACACTTTCATCAAGGTTCGGTAGTATACTAAGAGTCAATAAGGGTAGTTATTGCATCCAAAAAACTACGTCGGTTTGTTTTTTTCACCAAAACAATCTGGTTTTTTCATATCTAACCAATCATGGCTTTATTAATCACCACAAACTAACTTTTATATAAACCAACAAAAATTATACAAGATTTAAGGCGCGGGCCCACCGCGGCGCATGCTGTGCACGGGCACGCGGCACATTTTAGCTGCGTGTAATAATTTGTTTGACAACGTGGGTCTACGTTTCCACTAGAGTACACGAATATGTACCACGACTACGTAAACTGACTGAAAACTGCGCTGCGATAAGTGAGCTGTACATAGTCGAGGGTCATATTCGTGGATTCCAGTGGAAATGTAGACCCACGTCGATAGCGTTGAGCTATGGAACCGCCTTTTCGAGCAAGCCATGCATGTGTCAATGACGTCAATTCATACGTAGCCTCTCCGTGGGTTGCAGTGGACACAACCACTTACATTTCCTTCCAAAGCGAAGCTTAATACACGTGCGTAGCCTCTCCGTACACCGCGGTGGGCCCGCGCCTTAATGTCGGAATACTGAAACGCTACTCAATTTTAAGTCGTGCTTAAGTATAGTTCTATCTCTACAAATTCTTTGTAAAATGACAGAGATGGCACGATATTTGAGCACGACTTAAAATTGAGTAACGTTTCAGTATTCCGGCATTACATATTCAAAACTAGTGCATACCATATCCCTTCTCGTAGAGATGCACCATCTTCCGTCCGTGGTGCCTGGAGTCCGGGTGCAGTGCGTTGAGGTGGCGGGTGTGCGTGCGCAGTTGTTCGACGGCGCCGGCGCGGAACGTGTCGCACGCCGCGATCAGCACCGACATGTCGTTCTCTATCAACCAGAAACATATCTTCGCCAGGTTTGTGGACTTGCCCACGCCGTTTACCTGGGAAAATAATAGGACTTATTAAAATTTTTTTTATGGCAGAATCCGGTAAATGAATAGACGGGTCACTTGATGGTAAGCAATCGGCGTCGGCCATGGACACACAAAACACCAGAGACGTTACAAGTGCGTTACTGGCCTTTTGGGGATTAGGAATTTAAGGATTGGTGGGGAACGGGGGGGGGGGGGATAATTGGGCCTCCTGTTCCCTCACTCACACGACGAAACACGACGCAAGCGTTGTTTTACGTCGGTTTTTAGTGAGGCCGTACTATCACTCGCACTCTTAAAAAGTTATAGATTATAGGTCTACATTTTTATTGCAATAAATCAATGTCAGTACAGATTTTAGAGCAAAATACTAATCAAGGGCGCTGTCGAATACAGTACCATCACACTAATATTATAAATGTGAAATTTTCAGTGTTTGGATGTTTGTCCATCACATTGAAACTACTCAACGGATTTTGATGAAATTTGGTATACAGGCAGAGCAATGCTGACTTAGGTGATATGATACTTTATACCCCGATGAAATGCTCTCATGGAATAAAACAGAGAGAGAGAGAACGCGGGCAAAGCTGCGGGTAAAAGCTAGTAGGTAGTAGCAATGAAAGCTTTTATATTGAACAACTACATAGGGTAACGTGTTTTATTTGCGACTTTAAGCATGAACCGAGATGTTAAAAGCATTCTGGATATAAATAGATTTATTGTGATGTATAATGCTATAAAGACCTTTATCATGAACTGTGTCGTTCTAGCAGTACTTGTAAGTAATGCAACAGCCACGCGGTTCAATTTTCAGAAGGCAATTAAACTGTCAAACACCAAGCGGTCACCGGTGACCGCAACCTATTGTTCTATAATCGTGTCTACAAAACCGGTACTCGACGAGTTAATATTATTATTTACTTATCTTATACTATATATAAAGCGGAAGAGTTTGTTTTTTGTTTGTTTGAACGCGCTAATCTCTGTAACTACAAGTCTAATTTGAATAATCCTTTTTGTGTTGGATAGAGCATTTATCGAGGATGGCTATAGGCTATAAAACATCACGCTACGACCACTAGGAGCTGAGCAGAGCGTCAGAGCGTGTGAAACCGCGCGGAAGTAGCTAGTGTTTTTATAATAACTATCGTGAGATATACTAAATTACCTATCTAAAAATCGCGGGTTACTCATGTGAAAATACTCATGATGAAGAACCCCTCTGTGGCTCGAAACTAGTAGAGCTTTTCTCAGTATTTTCACGTGAGTCACCCGCGATTTTTAGTTAATTATTTACCTAATTAATAAATACACAATATTAACTAAATAATAACATATTATCATACAAATTTATAAAGAAATCTTCAAAAACTATATTATGTCCTTTAATATATTATACATACCCCACAAAATGCAGCAACATAAGGTCTCCCTTGTTGCTTGGCGTGCATACAGTCGCGCAGGATGTCCACGCGACGCTTCGGAGACAGGATCTGTACCAGCGACTCGGTTAGCGTCGCCTTCACTGTCTTAGCCACACTGTCGAATGTTCCCAGCACCTGATAAAAGGAAAACATAACATATTTAATAATATAACATCACGTTTATCGATGTCGATTATCAGTTCAGAGGCCTTAGTACATTTGTTTTACGTTTAATTGATTGGTTGGTTCATTGGAGCCAGCCAATCAGAGCGCCGAACGTGTACTCGATACGATTACTTTAAACGTACTAAGGCCAGACAAACTCGTACTAAGGCCTCTGGACTATGGAATTCTTCTAAGTAAATCACAGTATTAACCCTTCAAGAGTCTTATGCACGAGATATCTGCATTGCGCATAGATAGCGGAAGATTTGCGTTCAACGCTGATCTACCGACTAAAATAAGGACTTAAAATCAGTCGCGTTTAAAAGCCATCGCAGTTCCCCGAGGACAAAAGATATTTATTACTACTTTATCACCACACAGTATAAAACAAAGTCAGTCAGTCAAGTTCTTGCTGTCTGTCCCTATGAATGCTTAGATCTACTTATAAAACTACTCAAATGAGGAAGTTTAAGATGGTCTTGATCACGCGGGCGAGCGAACAGCTAGTACTTAAATCATATGATATTTTCATTGTATGAATGCGGAATGTCGTTAAAGTCAGCAATAAATGTGTTTTCAGGAAGTAAACATCACACAACGTCCGATCAATTAACAATGGTATTCGCGAGTGAAATGGGACTGCAATTCGATACAACTGGACGTCTTGGCACACAACCAAACTAGAAACTTGATCAAAGCTTCGAACAATCAAGGTGATCCTTTACAGATGACAGACAATTTTCACATTGCAATAAAATTGTAAGACATTAGGAAATAGTTCAGAAACCTATTCAAACCGAAACCTCAGAATCTATATAATATATTTTAAGCTTTCCAGATTTAAAATGTAGTTTAGATTCTCCTAAACATATAGTAAACAGAGAAAAGTCGTAAAGCTACACAAAACTAAATTACATTAACACAAAAATAAAATTGAACTCTATTGGTATGTGATGTATCAATTGCAATAAAATTTATTTTTGTACGAAATAAAACAACGATCTTATTTGTACGCCGCGTAGATCTAACAAAATCTCGACATAAAAACTAGACTAGAACTAGTAAATTACTCAAAAGTATTGTATGCATTTAAAGACTGTAAAATGTCATACAACTAAAAAGTAGGTAAAGAAAGTTACATATTATTTTATACTACACAACATAAAACAAACAAATAAAAATTAATAGGTAGTCTAAACTCACCCTTCCTTCAAGTTTGGTAGCAACAGAATCACAAAGCTTGGTAGCAATGTCAGCCGCGACGTTCTTTCCAATCAGATGGTCCTGAAGCTTGTCCAGCACTGGACGCATGGACTCCTTCGTCAGAGCCTTAGACCCCACCAACCCTGGAAGCCAAAGCATCTTCGTATTATTATTGTAGAAGAAAATATAAAAACATGAATGTAGAGCAACGCTTTGTCTATTGCGCTGCGTATGCGTGAGTGTAATAAACAGAAACACTAGTTTCAGTTTTGAGTTATTTTTGGTCTAGCTGTTTGGAGATTTATATTTATAGTCACACACACATAACGTTCCGTAAAATCGTTGAGTGAAACTTTCGTGCTTCCATACAAAACCATAGAGTAAAAAATACCTGGCCGTTTATAATGACGAGCGGAAATATGACAGTGACAGCTCAACATTTTGCCGCGCGTTTTAACGTCATAAGAAAAGAATTGAAATTAATCAATTAAACGTAACTGTGGTAGACTTAATATGTATGATTTAAAACTTAGGTCACCTTCTAAAATATCTGTCGGTCAACTGACCAGTTTGGGAGATCCTTAGCTTATGGCAAGCCTATCCTTAGCTGTTAAGTTGTTAGGAGGAGCTCATAGAATTTAATAAATCTCTAGCTTTTTTCTTTTGAATATTTCTTACAATCTAGGGGACTTATTTATCAAGTTTTGTATCATAATAATAAAAATCTTACCCTTGAATATGCTGAACATGCCGCCTGATTTCTTCTGAGTGGACTGCGCGGGTCCCTCGTCTTCCTCCTCACTGCTACTCTCGTCAGATTCCACCTCTAGGTCACGGATAGCTCCCGTCATCTGACCCACTAGCTGTATTGCCAGAAATAATCATAAGAATGGAATAAGTATTTACTAATGTTGCACAATAAAAAATTATATATTTAGTAATAGGGATCAAAAATTACCTGAAAATGTCAAATAATAACATAATATAACATCACGCCTTTTATTCCCGAAGGGGTAGGCAGAGGTGCACATTATGGCACTATACAATGTAACACCCATTTTTCACTATTTATGTTATTAGTCCCATGTATTAGGGTAATTAGGGGGTGAGCCTATTGCCATATACCGGGCACATTTCCAGACTCCGTGCTACTACTGAGATTTTTAAAAATCCAGTAATACTTTGCCCGACCCGGGAATCGAACCCGAGACCCCTTGCCCGGCAGTCGCACTTGCGACCACTCGGCCAACGAGGCAGTCAAATAATCTATTAAATTGAAATAATTAATCACTTAAAAGTATGTCAATGAGTGTACCTGAGTATCAGGCGTAATCTGGTTGTCGGCGTCCTCCGGCTTGTCAGTGCTGAAGTCGAGCGAGGGCAGGTCACGTGTCCCGCCGCCCAGCTCCCACACGCGTGGCTGCTTCACGCGCTCCACCTTAGGACTCTTTGGAGACTTCCTGGTGACACACATCACCCATCCATTATAATTATATTCAAAGTGTAACAGAATGCTTGCCTCGATATTCGTAAATAAAAGCCCTACTTGTTCATGGCCATGAAGGCAGAATAACTTTTTAAATCAAGATAGTATTTTTTACACTACTTGACTAGCGAATCGTAATAATATCAAATGCTAGTATTGAAGGATTAAAAAAAAATACAATTAAAAAAAACTGTGGCGTTCCGCTCACCATGACCATTATCAACATTGCTATTGGATACTTATATTTCTGCGTATTTTCATTTGAACATTACCAAAACAAGCCTCCTGATACCCAAACCCAACATAATAAATGTAGGTAGGTATAATAAGTAATTACAACATATTTAATGTCAAAGAGTGAATGAGACACTACATTGACGTCATAAGAAGTAGGTATAAAAACAAGTTTTATACAAACAGGAAAAAATGAACATTATCCTGTTTGTCACAAGACACACACTTCAATGTTAGCAACTTTGCAAATTTCTGTAGTACAGTACAGTATTATAGATAAAAAAAAGGTTCCACCACAGTGCAGATATACAGGATAAGACAGATGTACAATAAATGGTACCTAGTTTTACCAGTTCCATCAAACCTGTCTGCCATTGTAAATTATAAAGAAACATGTTGAATACCCACTACAAGTTTATTGTTTAATTTTATCTACTAAAAAGATTGAATTCAACATAATTATTGATACATATTGATGTTTTACTCAATTCATAGACAAGTTTTTAGGTATTGTAATAATGTTACTTACTTGGGCAACTCCTTTTTGCCCTTGGAGGCAAGTTTCTGAGCCATCTTAGCTCTGTTCATAGCAATCACATCATCATCCTGGTCCGGAGACTCCTCCACCTTGCCATTAGTTAGGTTCTTATTTTCTACTATTTTTACTGAAACCAAACATCATTATTGACGCTAATTTTTAATATAATATTGAGAGTACTGTCTATGCTTAGTTAAAATAAGGTATTTTTTTTTATTAACTCGTCGAGTACCGTCATTATAGACACAATTATAGAACAATAGGTTGCGGTCACCGGTGACTGCTTGGTGTTTGACAGTTCAAGGGGGGGAATTATCGAATGACTGCTGGAGGGAGTGTCAGACTCTTACTGACTAAAAAACACCCCGTTCCTTCTCCTGCACGTTGAGCCGGAGCCCCGGTTACCCGTTAGTTTCTCCGCGACTCCGAATCGGCATTGGCTCTGTTGGGCCTCATCTGCGGTGGTCTGATGGCTCTTTGAGGCGCACGCAAAATAAGGTATAACATATCAAATTAGTAAAACAACATTAGTATGGAGAAAACTATCTAAAATTTACGTCAAAATATTCATTATGTAATAATTTCATAATTCAAGTACACATTTGTCTTATGCAGAGCCACGGAAGATCTAATGGGTTGCTGGGCCTCCGGCTCGAAAAGTAGGAGTAGGTTTTTACTTTAGTCAATTAGAGTCTTACACTGCCTCTCGCCTAACCCAATTCAGGAGAAGTCATTAAATAATTTTTACCCGTCAAAAAGAAAAAGAAGTACATTTTTGACTTGAATAAAAAAATAGATTCATATTTTGTTTCACTTAGAAAGCCATAATCTAGTTAAGAGATAAGCCAATTTACTCTAATAAGATTATATTTAAATACACAATGATAACAGGTGACAAACAAGTTCCAATCGGAAGATTGGAATAAAAATAGCAAATAAAATAATTGGCCACTTATAAAAAACATTCTTTTTTCAAAATAAAGGAGCATTCAACAAATAACTAATTGCAAAGAGACTGACAGAAATGCTATTTCTCCTAACTTAGTACTCTAGCTATCTAGCTAGTATTGTATCATTGCATTACACAAGTAGTACAAAAGTATATTAAATGGAATCCATTTAGACTTACCAGATTTCTTCCCCTTATCTTCCCCCCTGCGTTCAATCATTGAAGCAACAGTCTTTTTGGACTTCTGCGAGTCTTCAAATGTTCTCATTTGTTTTGGAATCTTAGCTTGCGATTTAGCTGTAAATTAAAATTAAATTGTTGTTAATATAAACAGATATTTAATAAGAATTTGATAAAACCAAAAATATTATAAATGTAAAAGTTTGGACTTTGTGTGTTGTCTATAATATTTCGAAGGCTTTATCCTCCACTAAAAATAATCAATGTTTAAATTCCCTTACCCCATTTCTCACAATCCCGTAACACTTTCTCAAAAGAGGTTTTAAAATCAAAGTCCATTATGTGGTGGCCTCCTTGAAGTTCATTCTTATACTTGTCCCTAAACTCCAGGTGTACATCATTGAGGAACTTATCCACATATGATAACTGCAGGATGCGCTGGTATGCCACCACAAACACCAGCTCAAACTCATTGTCGAGTTTGTATTGCAGTGATAAGGCATTATGGCTGAATGTATTGTTGCCTGAACGCTCCTGAAAAATAAAATATTGTCGCTTTAAATATACTTGACTCTATACTAGAATTTCTACATGTTGTAGGTGCATTTATAAACATACATTTCACATCACACCATACAATTAAATTAAGTAATTTAATTAGTAAAATAATTTCAAATTTCTATTGTTTTATGATCCTTACTTAGTAAGGATAGTTTATACAACATATGCCAAGCTTTATTGATGTCTATAGTACAGTAAACAAGTCTATATTTATAGCATATGGTACATTCACAAGGTATGCTCTAGATAAGGCTATAAAGGCTATGATAACATTGAAAGAACGCAATATAAATAAGCCAAGGACGTTATTGGAAATAGACCAACTAAATGCGTAAAATATAAGTCCACATTAATTCAAAACATAAAGCTTAGCATATGTAAATTATCCAGACTGTGAATACTAATTAGATTAAGCCACAATCCACTAGGGGTTTCCCAACTTGCGAAAGTACTTACTTGTAATATCACACTACGAATTAAAGCGTTCACAGAAGGCGAAAAAATTTCGCTTGTGCTCTGGAAACACCATAGCACTATGCCTCCTTTACTAAAAATGCTGAATAAATCTAACATTTTGAAGAATTATTGAATTATTCACACAGAAAGTCACTTTACAGATGTTTCGTTCGCACGACGTAGGAATGTGTATGACAGAAAATTGACAACTCACAATCGAGGTAGATTCTGAACTTTAGTTTAGTCATTACAGCAGGTAGGTAGATACTTTTAGAGGTTGTCAGAAATATACTTGCGGAATTCAAGAATTTTGGAGACAGAAATATAAAAATAATGAGAGATTAAAATTAAAAAAGAAGAACTTAGTAATCATAAAATAGGCATTATAAAAACAAATTATTTTACTAAAGCTATTTTTTGGTTCTTCTTTGGTATGTTTTGGGTTTCAAAACGCGCCTTTCTTTCCATAGAAAAAAATAATATTTAAAAAAATGTTTTGAATAAAAACGAACGCAATTTACCTGCTTTTATTTATTGCAGTTTTTAACTGCTTTATATTATTATAATTATTTTAATATCATGAAATTCATGAATAATAAAATACCGCTATAACCAAACATAAAAAAAAAACAAATTAACCCATCGTTAATAATGTCTATAGTAAATTATAGTCTATGGACAAAAGAAATTTGTCAAATCATCGTATTATTTGTGCTCGTAGCTCGTATCAAAAATTGCCGATTAATTAGCAAGAAATCATCGCGTAACTTTTGTGTTGGTGAATTATAAGTTAACAAACAACAAAATGAATATAACATCAGCGGCGGGGATTATATCCCTGCTGGATGAGCCGATGTCTGAAGTTAAAGAGTTTGCATTGAAAAGGTTGGACAATATCGTCGATGAATTTTGGCCTGAAATATCTGAATCTATTGAAAAGATTGAAATATTGCATGAAGACAAAGTGTTCTCTCAGCACCAGCTAGCAGCTTTGGTGGCAAGTAAGGTGTATTACCACTTAGGAGCGTTTGAAGATTCATTGACGTATGCGCTGGGCGCTGGTGATTTGTTCGATGTGAATGCAAGAAATGAATATGTCGACACAACTATTGCTAAGGCGATCGACTTCTACACTTCTAAAAGGAAGGCTCTGTTCGTGGACAGCGATGCAGGAGCGATAGATCCCAGGTTAGAAGCCATCGTGAACCGAATGTTCCAACGATGCCTTGATGATGGACAGTACAGGCAGGCACTGGGGTTGGCCCTGGAAACCCGACGCATGGACATTTTTGAGGAATCCATCATGAAATCTGATGATGTAGCTGGTGAGTTACTTTTCTAAACAATGTTTATAAAAATGCCTTTGTTTACTGTAAAATGCAATTCACAATGCCTATTCACTTTTTCAGTGTTTTTACTTATATTGTTTACTAATCTGTTTGGTAAAATTTAATGAGTCATTGCAGATCAATAATAGCTGTAACCACAATGACATTAATATTTTGTGAGTGTAACCAACTAAAATGATAAAAATCCAATTTAAACTGTCAAATACCGAGCGGTCACTGGTGACCGCAACCTATTGTTCTATAATTGTGTCTATTGTGACGGTACTCAACAAGTTAATTGAATAATTAATAATTGATTTTAAATAGGTTTAGATTACTTAATAAATGCCAAAAGTACTTAAAACCTTTCTGAAATGTATTTAATAAAGTAAAATCAAATGTTTTATTCAGAAAAAAATATGAAACTTGTGTTATGCTCAAATTGCAAGTTGAATGTATCAATTAATAAAAAAGAAAATTTTTTGTTTGCTCTTTGTATTAATTATTACATTTTTTATTCCAGGTATGCTTCAGTATGCTTTCACAGTTGCAATGAGCCTTCTGCAAAACAGAGGCTTCCGCAGCACTGTCCTCAGGTCCCTGGTAGGTCTGTACAGAGGTCTCAACATCCCAGACTATGTCAACATGTGCCAGTGCCTCATCTTTCTGGAGGATCCTCTCTCTGTTGCAGAAATCCTTGACAAACTAAGTCATGGACCTCAAGAGTCTGTCCTTATGGCATACCAAATTGCCTTTGACCTATATGACTCAGCTACACAACAGTTCCTTGGTAGAGTACTACAGGCTCTAAGAACTACAGCACCCATCCCCAGTGCTCTTGGTGGCAAGCCCCAACCTCAAGGAGGACCATTCCCTGAGGCAAGCATGGAGGTTGATCAACCAGCTGAAGAAGCTAAGAAACCAGAGAGAGATATAGAAAGTCTGAATGATGAAGAAAAAGAACACCAGAAACGGGTAGAAAAATTAATTTCAATTCTAGGAGGTGAAGTATCTATAGGATTACAACTACAATTCTTAATTAGGTCTAATCATGCCGATTTGCTTATCTTGAAGAACACAAAAGATGCAATTAGGGTGTCTATTTGTCACACTGCTACTGTTATAGCCAATGCCTTCATGCACTCTGGTACTACCAGTGACCAGTTCTTGAGGGATAACTTAGAATGGCTTGCAAGAGCCACAAATTGGGCTAAACTGACAGTAACAGCCTCCCTTGGAGTTATTCATAGAGGTCATGAAAACGAGTCCCTAGCTCTCATGCAATCATACTTGCCAAAGGAAGCTGGCCCATCATCAGGTTACTCTGAAGGAGGTGGCCTATATGCCTTGGGTCTAATTCACGCCAACCATGGTGCTAATATCATTGACTATCTTTTAACTCAACTAAAAGATGCTCAGAATGAGATGGTACGACATGGAGGTTGTCTCGGTCTTGGTCTGGCTGCAATGGGTACACACAGACAAGATGTCTATGAACAACTCAAGTTTAATTTGTATCAAGACGACGCAGTCACAGGTGAAGCAGCAGGCATAGCCATGGGAATGGTCATGTTGGGTTCCAGGCATGCTGCAGCTATTGAAGATATGGTTGCCTATGCTCAAGAAACTCAGCATGAGAAAATATTGAGAGGATTGGCTGTTGGTATAGCTTTCACGATGTATGGGCGTCTTGAGGAGGCTGATGCCCTTGTCCAACAGTTGTTAAGGGACAAAGATCCTCTACTGCGTCGCGCTGGTTGTTACACTATCGCCACTGCTTACTGCGGCACTGGAAATAATGACTCCATCCGCACGCTTCTCCACGTAGCCGTTTCTGACGTAAATGATGACGTACGTCGCGCTGCTGTCACGGCTCTCGGCTTCCTTCTGTTTAGAACACCTGAGCAGTGCCCATCAGTTGTATCTCTGTTAGCTGAATCATACAATCCTCACGTCCGTTATGGCGCTGCCATGGCTTTGGGTATAGCTTGCGCTGGAACTGGCAACCGTGAGGCTATTGGCCTTTTGGAACCAATGGTCAAGTTTGACCCCGTCAACTTTGTGAGGCAAGGCGCCTTAATCGCTTCTGCCATGATTCTTATTCAACAAACTGAAGCCCTTTGTCCAAAAGTCACCTATTTCCGTCAACTTTACGCACAAGTAATCTCCAACAAACATGAAGATGTGATGGCTAAATTCGGAGCTATCTTGGCTCAAGGCATAATCGATGCTGGTGGCCGCAACGTAACGGTATCTCTACAAAACAGGACTGGTCATATGAATATGCTTGCTGTGGTCGGCATGTTAGTCTTCACCCAGTATTGGTACTGGTTCCCTCTGGCTCACTGCCTATCCTTAGCTTTCACCCCTACTTGTCTGATTGCTCTCAATTCTGATTTGAAGATGCCCCAGATGGACTTTAAATCAAACTCAAAACCTTCTCTCTATGCTTACCCGGCTCCTTTGGAAGAAAAGAAACGAGAGGAAAGAGAGAGAGTTACCACTGCTGTCTTAAGTATTGCCGCAGCCAAAGCTCGCAGGCGAGCACATGGAACTGAGGGCTCTGCTAGTAGCATGACTTCTTCCTCCACATCTAAAATGGATGTTGATGAAGAAGAGAAGAAGCCATCAAAATCACCAAATCCTAACATAACAGTCCATGGAAAATCGGACAAGGATGCTGCCACTGCTGGCTCTTCCAAGGAAGTCAAGAAGGAGGAGAAGGAAGGTGAAGAAAAGGAGACAAAGGAAAAGAAAGAGCCAGAGCCCACCTTTGAAATCTTGAACAACCCTGCGAGGGTAATGAGGCAGCAATTAAAGAACCTGACTCCTGTAGAGGGTACAGGGTTTACCCCATTGAAAGACGTTACTATTGGTGGTATTGTCATGTTAAACCACTCTGGTGATGGAGAACAGGTTCTGGTCGAGCCTGTGGCCGCGTTTGGCCCAAAGACAGAGGAAGAAAAGGAGCCAGAGCCCCCAGAACCATTTGAGTACTTGGATGATTGATATTGTCTCTTCAGCTAATTCATCTCATGATGATGCTCTATAGTAATAGGACGATAATTAAACATTTCAATATATTGAACAAGTTATGATCTAGATTAAAATGTTGAAGTACATGATTACTACTAACAGGAAATTATTATTGTGTTTCACGAATAAATAAATGTACCTAATGAAATAATTCCTTTTTTATTTTTATAAATGTTAACATGCACATTTTGAAAGTAAGAATTGGAAGCCTAAGATTTGTTGCTATTGTATAGATAGAATAAAAAAAAACAAAAACTGCGTTTAAAAAAACCGACTTCGAAAACCAAAATCTAAAAACAAGGATAAGGTAAAAACTAAAAATCAAAAAATAAAAACCGAAGTCTGTTTTTTTTAAACGCAGTTTTATTTTTTATTTTTATGCTTTTTAGTTTAGTCAAGGCTATAAGACCTAGTATACTACGTATATCCCATATGGTTGAAAAGTTCTCATCATTACAAATTATTCAAGCTCAAACACCAGGTAAACAGTTAATAGTAGATATTAATCGTTTAGGAGTTCCCTTGGCAATAGTACTACTTCATCATCAGGCTCCTAATGACAATTACGCCCCATACAGGTACATATAAAGTTCTCATCAAAACACATTAATCAAGCCCAAACACCAGGTAGCTACTGTCAGCCGTTGAGGAGTTCCCTTAGCTATCATACTCCTTCATCATGAGGCCCTTAATGACAAATACATTCCATTTAGATGTGAAGATCTTCTCAATACAAATACTTTAAGATTAAGCCCAAACACGGGGTCATTGCTACAAATCCTCGAGGAATTCCCTTGGCTGTCTCTTGACTCCATCATCAGATCAACTCTATATTTTCATCAAATTGTAGTGGTTTCAAACACTATATCAAAAAATTAACAAACGCTCTAGCCACCCATACAAATTTGAAAAGTTCCCTTCAGTTTCCATGGGATCCCATCATCAGATCCTGACCTGGTGGAAATGGGACCACCCCGAGAGTATGACCTTTTGAACAAAAAAAGAATCACAACATCATTACACATACAAAAAGAAAACATACAGCCGAATTGATAACCTCCTCCTTTTTGGGAAGTCGGTTAATAAACAAGTGTCTAGGAGCAAGAAGTGTCAGGTTCGATTCCCTGGTCATCTGGTCAAGCATTTTTGTTTCTATTCATTGATGATTAGCACTGTATTTAGCTTGAACCAAAGAGTATAATAAGTATAGAGGGGAAAGCTTGAATTTTCAAGCTAAATACATTATGTATGATAATATAAAATTATAAAAATATGTTGCAATGTACGATAAATACATGGATAATGCAACCACAAGAACAAATTCTTTTGCATAAATAATTGCAAACACAGGTTCAATAACAACAAAGAGGACAAAATACAAGTTCTCTTTCTTGCAAATTGCCAAACAGAGGGGCTCTGCGTGTCCTGTCTTTGCATGTGTTATTCCAGAGACCATAATCTACCTCTGTTCCAAATTTCATCCTGATGTCTTCAGCCGTTTTGACGTGATTAAGTTACAAACATACCAACTCCCAAACTTTCACTATATAGAATTTTATAATTTTTTTTATGGCTTAAGCCGATAAACGAGCAGGCAGATCACCTGATGGTAAGCAATCGGCGTCGCCCATGGACACCTGGAATACTAGAGCCGTTTCAAGTGCGTTACCGGCAACCGGCCTTTTAGGGATTAGGAGTTTGGGGATCGTTGGGGACTGAATCCCCTAAAAAGACTGGATCGTGGAAGGGGAGGGTAATTGGGCCTCCGGTAACGTCACTCACACTACGAAACACAACGCAAGCGTTGATTAACGTTGGTTTTCTGTGAGGCAGTGGTATCACTCGAGTCGGCCCAATTGTTTAACCATATAGAACCATGGATTTATATACATAGAGGCATCATGGCATATGGTGTGGTATCGTGTCGCCAAATGCTTGCCAGTTGCCACTAATCGATACCTGCAGCGTTACAGACAGCCACAGAACGTATTATTTTTAAATACCTACCCTAGGTGACTACAGCGCCACGACACACAAGTTTGTCTGTGACTAAGCGCCCAATCAAAAAAGTCATATTCTCTCTGGCCCCAATATTGCCAATGTCTGGATATTCCTCTTGTGTGGGGTTTTTATATTTGAGGACATAAAAAAAACGTCCTGTGTGGGGTTTTCTTTTTCTCATTTCTAACGTTGCGTTCCATCACTTTGTGTTTTTGTCAATTTCAAGCATTGTCATTTTTGGTCACCTTGTAAGTAGTGGTAAATCATGCTATTTAATTTACACTGCAGTGCCTGGTTCATTCAATTTTGACATTGACAACATCTTTCATTACTGTCAATTTGTCTCGGTAATTTTTCAATTTATATTTTGAGAATTCAGGGTCAGGTTATAAATTAGATTAGATTAAAAACGTGGTGTATTTCAGTTCAGACTGTACGATTGTGTACCAACTGTAGCTTTACATCTGATTTAATTGCAATATACTACTGCAATCGACAAACATGGATTGGGATTTGAAATACGGCGAATTATCAACGAATCAAAACTTCGTTAACAATTGCGAAGCTCTCAAGGAGAATTTAATGGAAGTACAACAGGTATTGGATCAATTGTTACCGCTGAAGCAACAATACGATAAATTAATATTGCCGGCACAAATTGAACTCGATTTGTTCTTAGCATTCACTTTGAATTCTTTGCACTGGATCCATTTGAGGATACAAGGTGTCGACCCTACAAGTCATCCTATTAAAGATGAATTGCAGCGAATAAAAGCTGCCATGTTAAAATGGCAGGAAGTTAAAGACCGGGAGAAAAGACCATCTGTTGACATAGAAGCAGCCAAGCGGTTCATCAAGAGCGGGCTCTATGATCCATACAAAGGCACAGCTAAGGGACCCACAAATAAGAAAACTAAGTTTGAAGATAATGACGAGTAAATTATGTTCTCTCTAAATTCAAAATTTTCAAGACTGAATAAGATTTGTATGATACGCAACTATAAAAACATCTTAAGACTTGAAGAAATTTCACCAGATTATGCAAATTTTTGAAAGTAGTCATAAGCCTTACATATCCATAAAGTACTTCTACATCTCAAGAAATAATCATGTTATTCAAATCTTTGTATCACTAGTGATTGTACCCACTCCATTATTTTAATTAGTAATAATGTTTGTAGGTAATTTTAAAAATTAACATTTTGTGATTGTACTAATGTGTCTAGAAAGTAATGTTACTATTTGTATAAGTTTCAGTAACATGTGTGTAAACACTGACCAAATCTTTGTTATTTTATTTATTAGTTAGCGAGGTGCCTTCTAATGTGTGCCAACACAAAAGTTTTCTTATGTAACCAATAATGCCTATGTTATTTTAAGCCAAAATCACTATAAAAGTAGAAATATAAATGTTATCTTAGTCTTTAGTCTCCAGGTATAAAAAGACCTGTTCTGATAATGTTAACCGAAAAAAAAATTTTAATGTGTGTACTAGGATTAAGTATTTTGTATGTTATATCATTTGATATGCATGTATTACTAATGTATTTAACTACTTGACTTTAAATATAGTCTTAGATCTGAATGATATTGCTGTCATTTGTTAAGTCATCCAGGTACCTTTCTTACCTTAGTCACAAGTTCAACACATTTTTTTTACTAATTGCATGCTCTCGTATCAGGCATCCTATCACAATCCCATTGCAATATTAGTCACCTAAGGAACTACAAAGGTGGGATAGTTTGATCATAATTTATTTTCCATATCTTTTGAACTTATTATCTTATACAATAAATTATTTGTAACCTATTACAATATGTATATAATGTGTACATAAGTTTTGATTAATTAAATAAAATACCATTTATCAAAAAAGGCTTTTATTGAAACAACAACTAACATCCAGATCTTCTACTTAACCAATTAAAATTTAGGAATGTCATAAATATTATACAGTAATTGTATTCTCAATCTTATCTGAAAGGATATCAAGTTTGAAAGAAATCACATTTATTCATTTTATTTAAAAAAAAGTAGAAAAATATAACTTATTTTTAGTTCGGAATGATAACAAATTAAATTATGTGTAAAACAAAATATATGTTTGTTCTTCCGCTCATCAGAAGTTCTGATTATTACTTAAAGCACAAAACAAAATAAATTACATACATTTTATGTAAAATAAATAATTCATCTTCCTGTCTTGTATGTACTTCTGTCCATTGAATATATTGATAAAATTTAATAATATTACAATAAATAAATCATTAAATTCTAGTCATATTATTAAGCAATAAAAATAGTAAGTATCTTATTTAAAAGATCATCCTGAAATAATGGCACCAAATACATAACACATTTACAAATGGAATGAATAAAGTGATGTTGATCAACAATTCAACAACTATTAATAAGGCAATTGTAATGGCATGTTTATTTTTCTACTTGAAGTACCAGGCCCGCAGCAGAGATATTGTCACCAGCACCAGCGGTGAGCTGTGCCTCAGTGCAAATAAGTACAGGAGCCACACATATATCAACATTCTCCCCATTTATTTCCTCATCCCAACAGGAGACGGGTTTAGTAGGTTCAAAGAACACCCTACTTGTGTTGTCATTATCTGTGGTTGTAGAGAAACTGTCATCCAGTAGCAATTTACATTTTTCCAAGGCAATATCTTGACTGTTACAGACATATCTGTGTGCAGTCAGTGATGCTTTAGCAGCTGCAGCCTCAGTTCGCTTCCAGTTAGAGTTTTTAACTGTCATTATAGCTTGGTAAGCTAAAGTATGCACATGGATACGAGTTAGCTGTCTTTTACTCTCATACAGTTCATTCTGACGTCTTATCAACAAAAATGTTTTGCGCATTTGGTCTAACGCTGTGGCTACTCGTGGGTTGGAGTCAGCAACCACACTGACTTCTCCATATTCTAGGACACTGTATAGATTTGTTAATTCTTGCTCATTCATACCAACTGAGTCTACAAATGGCAGTATTTTGGTAGTGAGATGTTTCAGAAGCTCTAAGTCTACATAGCTGGCCATCTCAAAGTGGGTCAGTGTAGACAGTGGTTGTGATAATATTTGTTTCTTGACTAGATCCAGTCTTTCCGCTCTTAAGTCTGTGAACAACAAAATATTATATTAATTACATCACTTAGCAGTTGCTACAACTTAAGATAAATGAGAGTAAAGTGTACATCACTAAAGACAACTTACCTTTCCCATCTCCAACTTTAAATGGATAGTTATCCATCATCTGCAGTCCACTAATGACTAGTAGGTTGGGGCCAAACCCTGGTAAGTGTTCATCAAACTTCTCCAGGGAACTCAGGAGTGGATTGTTCTCATCATTATGTACAATGTATCTGTTTGCTCTGGGCGCCTTCAGAGTACCGAATGTCTCATCTGTCTTATACTCTAGAATCATGTGGACATCATCCCTGACTTCCTCATTCTCCTCCCCACCAACTATCTGGATATCTTTCGGAATGTATTTCTTCAACTTGTTGCTCATTTTTGCTGCAAACAGCACCTTCCATCCCTCTATGTAGAACCTTTTGGCCATCAGTGGAGCATTGCCCCCAATAGACCATCTTGAGTCAGGCAGTTTCAAAGCTTGTTCTATTAATTCATCATACAACTTCCCATTGGACACAAACCGTCTGAAAATGTTAATAATTTAATTACATTATGTTTACAGGAAAATATATTTTCTTATCATAAAGGCCAACCTAAGAATTAAAGTTAAGAACAAAATAAATTTAACCTAATGCTAATTGCATTAGTGACTAAATTATCTCAAATTGTACTTTGTTATCAGTGTAAACTATTACATCTATTTTTAAACATACATGTGATGGTAATTAAAACTATAGATAACTTACTCGGCGGCTGCGCCATGCTTAAAGAAATAAGCGAAACTTTTGAGGAATTCTTCCTTGTTTGAGATCTCATTGAAATGCTCAGGGTTTCCTTTCAGCTCCTTGTGGTCCAATAACGAAGTGGCGTTAACAAATAGATCGTGACACGCGCCATATCCAAGCGCTACTTTCGGTTGCAGTTTGCCCTCACCAACTTTGTTCTCACTCTCCAAATATAGCAAATGATCCTTCACAGGCGACAGTCGCACGTCCCCAAGATCATTCTTGCGGTAATAAACAGCATATAGCACGAAACAGAACGATACAATCGTACCGCATTTCACCGGAACACCAGCCATCGTCCAAACTTGAAATATTACCTATATTGTATGTATAACTTAGTGATTGGAATGCATAAGTGATTAGAATTTCGGGAGAACCACGTCACCTCATCGTTTTATTACAGGCATTTAAGTATTTAATTATTTATGACCTATTTAAATATTGATAATGGAATACACTACAGGTGACGTTGAATGACAAAGTTATGACTTATGAAAGACAGCTGCGTGTAGAACTGTCAGCTGTGTCAGCAAGACGTTACGTTACACCACAGATTTTGCGCACGTTTTGTTGGTATTGTGAGTTGAGATTTTCTCCATAATAGTAATTTTTCAATGAAACTTTTATCAGGATTGATAAATTTATAAAAATAATAAAACCTGAAAAGGTTTCTATAAAATATATTTTATGAAAGTTGAAAGTAAAAGTTATGAAGCTTTCAAAATGTTATGTTACTTGTTCAAATGATATGTAATCAAATGTTTTGTTAGCTGTAGAAGTTTTATTTACCTCTCTGCTTGCTTTTTACACTATAAAAAGCGCTTCTCTAAATATCTCAACTTTTACAGATAAGTAAATTTTTATTTAATAAAATCATTATGCCCACGCTACGTTCTCACGGAAGAGTCATCTATGCTATGGTGCGAATAAGCCGACTGGCCCTACGCTGGCCCCTGGATACTACGACCATAACCTCACAGAACACCGGCAAAAAGAAAACATACCTAGCTTCAATCCTCCCTCAATTCCCAATCTCTAAATGTCTAAACAGCCGGCAACGCTTGTTTAACTCCTCCAGTAGTCTTTGCTTGCGGGTGTTCAATGTGTATGGGCGATGCCAATTTTTTTTTTTTTAAAAGGAAAACGTTGCCCCACACTAGGATTATCTTCTGTGTCGTGGGTGCGTTTACAAACATACAAGTTCACATACACATGACACCCAGACCCGAAACAACAATTTGTGGATCACACAAAGTGTTGTTCCGTGCGGGAATCGAACCCGCGACACGTTGCACGGCAGCCGGTTGCCCGGCCACCGCACCAACCGTGCACTTCTTCTGTGCACTTCTTTCTTCTTTCGTGCAATTCTTACCTTCGGATAACCCGCAGAGGAACTATTTTGAAAAATCACTTACCAAAAGAACATAAAGATAACTGTTAATTTACCAATGTTTTCGGAAAGTTCATAAAGATGGCGTTAATTCAAAAACGTTGTTTGGATTCCCGTCCGATCGTTGTTAAAGACGGACAAAATACTTTCGACTTGCTTTCGACAAACAAAACACTGATGGTAACCGTGATAAGACCTTAATCTTAACGCGAAACTCCTGAAGAAGTTCCAGGGCTCGTAACATCAATAATGTTTTAACACTTTTAACATTTGACTTGATAGCCAAATGCAGTGCTTGGTATGCAAGTAGGTACCTACTTCATTAAAGAGTACGCGATCCAAGGAGTTCGATATCTCGAAAATGTTTTCGAAAGCCAAAAAACACGCCGTATAAGGCACAACCGGTCTCCTCGCTCCTAAAATGGAAGCATGTATGATGTTAAGAGCTTTAGGCGTAAATTGTCTGTGTCACGGTGTATCGTAATTAATTTTAACAAAGTTCAAGTCTTGCAATTTATTTTTATCTGTTGTGTAGCTACTTGACCTTTTGGCCTACCTACTTTTCCAATTTTGCAGTTGAAACTGGGTAAAGTTACTATGGAAAAAATAAGGTTTCACGTATTGCTACGGTCGTACACAAATATCTTAATAATACACTTTACTTAAATTCCGAGGTTTACACTGTACAGTCCACCTGCACATTGTACAGCACAAAATAGGTACGGAAATTAATGTTATGGAGTACCTACCGACTAGTTTAATATCATGTTACCAAGCGCCTGCTGAAATATTAAATCAATAGTCACTATAATCTGTAAGTGCAAACACTACACTTTTATAATTCAATATTCATATAATTTACTTTTTGTTTGGGTCCTCGAGGTAGGTGTCGCTACAGGTTTTAGATTTTTTTGCAACCGCAGGCAGAGAGGTGACTGAGGACACTATTAGATAATAGATAGGCGCCTACTACAGGCTGGTTATTCACTTCTAGAAATAGTTTAGTTTACCTAGTTGTTTTATAATTACAAGAAACTCAAGTAAAGTTACCGTAGACATTTTTATATGCTTAAGATTTTTCCTTCATACGGTTTATTTTATCATGTTTTTCACAACAATAGACACTTTACAGCTACCATAAACAGAGATAAATATTTTTATAAGGCACAAGTCGCGCTGAAAAGTATAAAAGCGGCCGAATATGGCGGAGTCACGTATTGTCGCCAAAATAACGTGGAGATGAAATCTGTGTATGGTGTAACTGTCTGGCGCCGGTGGAGGTACACTGCCGCTATATCGAGCAGGAACTTGAGACAATTTAGGGACATATATATTTTTATTTTTCCATTGCTTAGGTTCGTAATGTTAGCGTTGGTACAGACCGATTTCCTTGACGTTTCCCGGCGTAACAATGTTTAAGTAGGTATCTAGATATTATGGCTTCTATCTTTGTAGCACCCTGTTAAGTTATTAATAAAATGTTTAACTTTTTAATATTAGAGTAGAGTACAGGGACTACAGTGTTATAATTGTGTAAAAAAATCATCTAATAATAATAGTAAAATTGTTTTATGTCCATGGTTTACGTGTGCGTAGGAGGCTCGGCAGTATCAGGTCGTATGATTCATACCTCTGAGGTCAGGAGTACCAGTTGAAGAGAAATGAATGACTTG